GTTTTAATTATACAGTCTCTTCCATTCTTACTTGACTGTCTTTTAATCTACTGCTTTCTGAGACTAGTCCTTTGGCTGACTGAGTGATTGTATTGTTGACTGATAGCTGACTTATCAGTTCCTGAATTGCTGATATAACTAACTAAGGGAGTGGTTGTTTGTTTATGTGACTGGGTAGCTCATAGGAATGACTAGTAAACTGACGAAATGTTTTGCTGACTTACGGAGTGCTGATTGTGTGGATTTAATAGTCCATTATCCTTTATTGTGTCTCACTTGAATGGTTAACTGAAGCATTTGGTGGTCTAGAAATTGATTGACCGACTGACTAAATAAAAATATTTAAGGGGGGGGGGGGTAAAATAATAATTGAATGACTGGTTGACTGTCGGAGCTAATTGTTTATTGGTTGGTTCTCTTATTTATTTTGCAGACAAAACCTCTGGTTGTCCGATTCGTTGTGCAGTTATTTCCGTAATTGGCCTCCAAGCAACGGGATGTTGGGGACGGGTGGTTGGTTCGTTTTCTGGTCGTGTGACCGGGCGAATGTTGGCTTATGATTGTGTGAAGTAATTGGCCGCTGTTGAATCATTGGAGCTTCCGAGAGCCGAGGCATGAATGACAACACCCCGTCCCATTTCTCTCCGTATACGTACGTAGTTTACAACTAAGGAGAAGCTGTAGACATTCCTTGTCACGAATTAGAAGGGGCTCCTAACAGCATATACATGTCAGTATAGTGGGTAACTACACGTATTCTCCATCTACCACGTCTTTTCTTTTTGGGAATGAAATCCCGCGCATGTTGACAGTATCGGTGCCTCTTAGCAGGAAGTATCATGAACCGGGAGAGGGGATGGGGTTAAGACGTGTTCTATTACCACGGTGTTACCTAGCCCAACAGCAGGTGCTCTGTTGGCATGCTCCGTTGGCCATGCATGCATATATTTATTTATTTCTGATGCCATTTAAACTTGAAGGCGAGGTGAGCCGAATAAATTTATTTTAAGGTTTATTCATCGACGATGCCAGAAACTCGGTCGGTGTACCGCCGAATGTTAAGAAGAATATTGATTAATTAGTTGGAAAGGTTACGGAAGGAATCGATTGTTGCCGAATTTAGGATACAAACTCTGCATTTACTCTGTGCATTTTAAGAAACCCGTGATGAAGCTTAGTAAGTGTTTTCGGGCCCAGAACGTCCCGGAAAATGAAACGGAACGCGACGTTTGGAGAGAAAGTTAATATGTTGTTACTGATTATTCGGTTAATTAAGGACATCAAATTTCATGCGTCAAGGCCACGGAAGTATTTGACCAACACCGGACCCCTACCCATCCTTCCCGCACGGCGTTGCTACAACACCGGACCCCTACCCATCCTTCCCTCACAGCGTTGCTGGGCTTTGCAACGGTGCAAGTTCTGAGCTGTCTTCATTCGCCTGGACTCCGTTGTTTGTGTTGCATCGTTGTATAAACTTGTATGCGATTATGGTGTGACCTTGAGGCATGCAGTTTGGTAATGGATATACAAAGCCGAATGATAGTGTAATTGTGAATGACTCTTAGCCTAGCCTGTCTCATTACGTACTGTACTTATCATATAAATATGTTGACATTTAAATGAGAATTTTGCTTAGGATTGAGACTCTGTGCGTGCTAAATTAAAGGAATGCATAAATAAAAGGAAGCAGTTGTGATTTTACCGTTATGTCATACAATATTAAGTCCTGTAAATTTATTTCCTGAACGTTTTTGTGTTAGCGGTAACGTCCTTCCTGTATGAAACCAGACTTCAGAGTTACGAGGGCAGAATAAAAACAATCCCGTCACAAAGGAAGCCTGCTCTTGGCGTTCCTGTTCGTTATTTCCCTCCTCTAATTAACGCAAAAACAGAAAACGCCCACCCTACTCAGTCATAACACTCTTGAGCTCTTACAGTAAGTTCAAGTTTTGTTAATTCTTCAAGCCAAAGGAGTGCTACCAGATGGCGAATAAAAGCGAAACTTGTAATGATGAAGTAGCCGACAGTTGTTGATGGGAGCATAAAGAAGAAAGTAGAATAAAATCCACGAGATGGGTCGCGAAATTTTATTATTTGGTGTTTTATTAGTTGCGGCAGTAGTGGTATGATTTGATGGAGAGAAAGATGAAACCAGAGAAGTAGTGCCCTCCATCGCACTTTATCCTACCCTCCACTTTGCCCTTTGTTCCATACACACCCTCTTCCTCACCCGTCGAAACCAAAGAGCCAATAACTGTCCCGGAAATGGGCCACAAATCCCTTCTGGAGAACGTTTTCCAGGCTTCAGTTATAGAGTGCTGGAAGCGCTTGAAACGTCTGATATAGCTGCTAGATATTCCTTTCTTTCCAGTGGCAGTCTTTGCTGTTTCTAAATCTCTTTGATATCTGGCTTATGTTCGCGATATGCCGCGTCTAACCTTTAGTATAAATGACGTGCAACATACGGATACAGCTTTATGTGTTTCGGAGAATCTAAACCGAGTGAATTGAGGTACAGATGTACAAGGCAAGAATTTAATTCGTTCCAAGTTTTTCTTTCTGTATCAGCGCTTGAAGACATGGATTGTCAGCAAGAAACGTCTACGCCTAAGTAACTGCATGGGGCAGAGTCCATGAGAAGGTATATATAGTTATTCAGCTATTTACGGAATTCCTTTTCTTGTTTCTGACTCGAACGTTTATTACCGCGTTCCCAAGTCCCCAGCACCTGAGCTGGACAAATCCTGTTCATACTTTCCCACACTGTTTAAAATACGTTTTAATACTAGGCCACATCTTGTCATCTGCTCCTAGATCGTCAGAGTGGCCTCTTTCCTTCGAGTTTTCCACAATATCTTTCACGATTTGGAAAACTTTGAAACTTTATTGCTATCTTTTGATACAACATTATCTGCGGTACTTGGCCTGGGACCTTGCAGACCTCGAGTGTACTTTTGAATAATGGTTTGAAGGTTCTTTTCGTTACATATTTTGATCTACTCTTTGTGTATAATCAGTAGAGCCTTGCGTTGTGTATTATGCATGAATGTACACCGTAATAATAAACTCAGGCTGTAGCATGAGAAATGAGGTGTAGCGAGGCGAATTATCAGACGTACAGCCCAAAGCTTCTAGTTGTGTATACAACGAGCACTTTGCTTATGTTCGTGCGTCAACCCTTCTTCATTCATGCGCTACAGATTTCGTCTTCGTGCAAAGATGGAATGAGTTCAGGCAGAAGCCCTTACTGATATTGGAGGTTGGAATAATACTAGCTCACAAACATACAAACACACTTCGAACGAGTTCAAGGAAATATTATCTCTGTAGCTGCACGCACGCGTGCGGGTCGGAGAGGGAATCTTTGCTAAGAATTTGTGAATCTTTTGCCTGCGGTTATAACAATTTGTGGATCTTTTGCCTGCGGTTATAACTACGAGTATCTCGAAATAGTTCCTGCACCTGTCATTAGCGTGGGGATAGTGATGACCGGAAAACCATTGCGATGATTGAAACCCCTAATATTTTCATAGTCCAAGTCGAATATTCTGAGCAGTGACAATTAATATCCTTGCGTCTTGCGGAAAACAAGCAGTAATAAAATGTTGAGATGAGTAGGAGACTATTTTCTTGATTCCGCCTGGCAAGTCAACAGCTGAAAGATGTTCAAGGCGCTTACGGGGCCGTTTTCTGTAATCCGGCTCTCACAGAATACCTCATGTCCTGATAAAACCATTCGCCACAGGCCATGAGGTCAGGCCAGGTGTTCAGAGCATGTCATTCG